ATGCCAGCCTGTCTCCCAAGGCACCCAGCCTAGGGGGCCGCACCTCCCAGGGAACTCCCCTGCAGCCCTCCCCACCCATCTTCCTGGCTCCTCTCCACGCCCATTGCAGCCCACCCCCAGGTCACTCTTTCCAGAGCCTGAACCCCGAGACCTTCAGGACAGGGTGCCCCATAGGGGACCCCAGGAAGCTGTCACAGTGTGCCCGGACAAAGTGCATGACTTCCCAGGGAGCTATGGGGGGCAAGGTCTTGAGACGACGCCAGCACAGTCAGAACAGCCACAGCTGGAGACAGAGGTGCACACTGTTTTGCCTCCTCCTGTCACCCTCAAGGCACCCAGTGGCAGAGGGGTTCTGTGTTGGTCTGCTAACGGCAAGGTCAGCAGTTCGAAACCACCAGCCTCCCTTCGGGAGAACAATGAGGCTTTCTATTCCCATAAAGAGTTAGAGTCTCCGGAAACCCACAGGGACGGTCTACCCTGCCCTATGGGGTCACTATGAGTCAGAATGAACTCACTGGCCACAAAAGCGAATGACCGAGTGGTGCACTCAGTCCTACTCAGGGAATGCTGATGGTTAGACGTTACACTGCTAACTTCCAGGTGGGAGGTTCGAACCCACCAGCGGCTCCTTGGGAGACATAGGCGGCCATCTGCTGTGGTAAAGATTGACAGCCTCAGACACCCTAAGGGGCAGTTCGACCCCGCCTACAGGGTGGCCATGAGTCAGAATCCATTCCACAGGGGTGGAGTGGACTTTTTTGTTGCACCAGGGCCAGATAGCACAGCTTTCCCAAGCCATCGGGCCGCCTCCATCCCTCACAAGCTGTCTTCCTGGGAGACTCAAGCCTCAGTGGGGTGAGCACCCCTTTCTCAGACAGGTGTGTTTGAGTTTTCTCTCCGTGTATCTGCTATGGTACTGCCACCAAGCAAATTCATTGCCTTCATCTCGTTGCTATCCACGAGGGATTTTAGCATCTAGTGTTACCTTTGAAACGCACCTAATAATAAGTAGTTCAAGAAAAGCAAATGTGCTGGGATACTGATGGGGTGAACATGGAAGGCTTCCCAGATTTAATTACGAGCAATTCCTCGTCTGACCACTTGGTGGCACTTGGGCTGTGGTATGCTGGCTCCAACCAGAAGGAAGAGGGAGGGAGGGAAGAGGGAAGGAGGGGGCTTGGAAGAGGTGGGCCACCACTTCCTTGAGCAAGCATCTCGGACGGGTCGTTTCGGACTTGAGTCTTATGAAAGCCAGGACAAAACGTCTGACTCCATCCAAGCAATCACTGAAAATAAACAAGCAGGAGCCCCACTTCTGAGCTGCAGGGAAGGTAGATGCTGTGCACTTTCTCCCAGGAAACGACAGCTTCTCTAGGGCACGCTGCCCAGGGCCCCTCCTGTGGCTCGTGTGCTCCCCCTCTGCCTTCCCTCAGCTCCAGTCTCCAAGGCGTAAGCCCTCTGGATGCTCCTCGCTGCCCATCCACGCGGACCCTTCCTAACTCCTCAGGCAGAGATGAGGGCGCTTGCTCATACCAGGTCCCTCGCTTAGCGGCCAGGTCAACCCCAAGAGGAAACAAGGCTGCCAAGCTCCTCCTCCCACCAGATCACGAGAACCAACCGAGACCACTTTGGGGGCAGACACTGGCCGCTGCAAAACTCCAGTTGGCAACCCCGATTTCTGTTGCTACAGTTGGAGAAAGGAGGTTTTCCTTGGAGTGAGGTGATGGAACCACCCCACCACCACCACCACCTACTGGTACGTGGAACCATTCCACCTTGGGCCAAGTATTAAGGTTTCCAACCAGGGCTCTTCTGAGTGCAGAGAATCGGCTTCATCTTCCGGTTAACCCATGATAAACCTCCAGAGGTAGGCCGTATGCAGCGCTTTAAGATCTGGCCCAACTTCTGTTCTCTTACCATTTTATTACACAAGGACAGTCTTCAGGTACGTGCAGCTGAATGTTCTCTGCAAGGCGGGAGGAGGACAGGGAACTGGGGGCGTGTAGGGACAGAGTCTCTGGTGATGTTTCGTGGGAAAGGGTGACAACTGCTTCCACTATTTTCACTTCAAAAATACTTCCTCCCTGGGTGTAGAACCTTCCCTGAGGAGTCAGGAATTCGAGGTGGATTCTTTGACCCTTCCGTTTATCCCAGTGCTCAGAGTGAGGAATCCCCAAGGTTTACTAGGTGCAGCCTATAGTGTTGTTTGCTTTAAAGACCAGGGAGCGTTCAGGCGGTGGTCTGGTTTTAGGAAGGCAGCTGAACGTGGTGGAAGAAAACAAGGCGTGGGCTCTGGGCTCAGCTTGGACACCAGCTTTGTTATTTGAGCAAGCCCCTTCTCCACAGGACAATTCCTGTCTGCACTCCAGGGCTAGGGTTCTCATCTGACCCTCTTTTATACACCTCTCCAGGATGGGGCAGGGAGGCACAGGCCCGTGACTTCCGAACAGCAAGACCTAATATGTCCCTCCCGCTGCTGCTGCCAACGCAGGCCCAGGGATCAGAGGGAGGCCCAGGAATTGGAGACGGCCGGGGAGGGAAGGAGTCCGTGCATGCAGAAGACACCGGCAGCAGCCCCACTGCCCTTTCCCAGTCGGAACCACAGCTGGAACCAGGGACTGGGGAGCAGGGCCCATCTAACCACACAAGACAAGAGGTCCCCAAGAGCTCTTGTTTATGTGAGTCCACCTATTTAACAACTAACCAATAGGTGGGAGATTGATTCCCACCCCTGGCTCCATGTGAGAAAGGTTGGGCTAGGTCGGGAGAACTCAGCCATCAGCACTCTGAGACACACTGGGTTGCAAGATAAGGCATGGGGGCGCCGGAATGGATGTTTCTGGTATTTCGCCACATTTAAAATCAAAACTGAGTGCTTGAAAAGATGTATTAAGTTTAAAGATAAAAGCACTTACCATCTTAACGGCTAATACATTGTCAGCACGCCAGAAGGACGGACACAGACAGGGGAAGGAGCAACACTCCTGGCTCGGGGCTTTCATGCCCAGCCCTAATTACCACCTGAGATCAAGTTTATTGTGCCAACCTGGCCGATACACACATGTGGAGTTAATTGAAGGGTGGAGAGATAAAGGGCTCAGTGAGCTTCGTCTTTCCGGTTCTCGGGTCTCTTGCTTTCTGATGGTCGGACCAGGGTGCAGCTGCCTTAGCAGTTCCCTGCTTCAGCTGGCAAAGCTCACTTCCTCCAAGGCATCCCCAAGGAGAAGCCACATGGACCTGCCCCGATGCAGCCCTGGGTGCTGGAGCAGCCGTGTAGAGACCCCTGCCAGCACTGAGATGCTTACACGCTCACTTATTTGACTTTCCTCCTGCAGTTGGCATCATCGCGTGTGTTTTGTGAGATGGAGGACTTTGTGGATTGGTGTTGGACATATGGGCTGATGTTGGACTTGTGGGCTTGGGCAGCACTGGGTTGGGATGTTTTCTTGATGTGCACTTACCCTCTATATAAAACTCTCTCTTACACATATGGGTTTCTGGGGATTTTCTTCTAGTCTACCACCTGTCAGCATGGGCTAGGAGGCTCCTCTGTCAGTGACAGCAGGGAAACAAGCAGCGGGTAGTTTCTCATGCGCCTTAGCCAGCAGCTTTCCTCCAAGCTTAACAGACAGCCCAGCAAGTGACTTCCAGGCCAGGTGAGCACCACCTGTCTGCCCACCCCACCAGGTGGTGGGCCTCAGCAAACTCCTCCAGCCAGTGGGCGGGCTGCAAGACACCCTCTCCAATGAAGACTGGCGCTCCATGTTGAGAGCCAAGGGGATGGGCTCTTCCAGACATGACCCACCCCCTTCCACACAGTCCTTTGCCACATGGCTGGGGGCATGCCCCACCTCTGCTGCGACTCCAGCCTGTCTCAGGTGGCCCCGTTTCTTTCTACAGACTACACCCTGAACCCTAAAGGATACAGTATCATTTGTAAAACTGGTGACAGGATTTCTAGCTCACTGGGAAAGTCAAAGGCAGAAAATGACAGTCCACTTAGGAATGACAGGAATGAATGAGAAGTCAAAAACCTGATTTCAGAGGATTAATGTCGGTAATTACCATAAAGGCCAATAGATTTAACTCCCTTATTAAAAACAAAGACTCTCCCAATGGGTTGAAAATCTGGTCGCTCACTACCATCAGGTTGATGCCGACTCCTGGTGCCTCTATAGGACTGGGTAGAACTCCCCCTGCGAGTTTTCAAGACTCACTCTCTATGGGAGTGGAAAGCCCTGTCATTCTTCCAAGAAGCGGCTGATGCTTTCGAACTGCTGACTTTGTGGTTAGACCACCACCAAAGCTCCTCCGAATGCTCGCATGCTACACTTGGGCCTTTTGACTTGTGAAGCTAACTGCAGCACTCTAACACGTTCAGTGGTCTTGCTGAAACTCATTTATGAATTGTCTTCATTAACTCACAACAGGTTGAAAAAAATTAAATCTTTCAAGTCCTGATGCCTAACGCATGTAAGCAGCTACTAGGCAGGGAAGAGGCTGCCTGGGGTTAGAGACCGGATCAGAATCTTTGGCCTTCAGCAATACTCCACAGGGGGTAGCTCTCACAGGGAAGCCATGTCAGTCAGCTGATGGAGAGAGCACAGAATGGAGTCTCCCGGGGACAACACTCGGCCCTCCCACCAGAGCTCCATGCCTGCGGACACTGAGAGTAGGGGCTGGGCTGGTATTGGCTGTGCTTTCTGGTCCGGGAACGGTCACTCAGCTCATGAAAGGTTTCAGAGGAATGCTCCACTGTCTGAGGCAGGGACACCGAGACTGGGAGGAGGGTGCTGAGCTATTTAGAGTCTGTCTTGAACAATGGGCCGTCCTTGCTGAACTGGTCTGTGGAAAGGACTGCCTCCTCCTCAGAATTTAAGGTGCAAGTACCCTTGAGTTACTCCTTGAATAGGGCAAAGGACAGAGACCAGCAGGCTTCTGGGGGCTCTAAGTGTCTAATTACCTCAAACAAAAGGCTATAGTCTTTTTTATTTATGTTGTGTTTTTATTTAAGAGTTTACTGACAGACAAGTTGGAAATCAGGCTTTTCTTTTCTTTTTTTAATTGAAGGCCCAAACTTAAAATTTTTGCAAATATGGTACTGCTAGAAGAATGAGCATCTTTATAATTTAAACCTTAAAACGTTCTGTGGGGTTAAAATCTTCATACGCAGACTTTGTAAGATGGGTATCGTTGAAAACAAAACAGCTGAGAGCCCACGGCTGGTGGGCAGAAGGTCAGTGGCGAGGAGCCGGGTCCAGCCTCGGGGCCGGGCAGCCGCGCCTCAGTACTTGGACCGGCAGTCCTCTTTCTCCAGCAGCAGGTCCGCGTACCGGTGCTGCAGCTCCTTCTCTCGCTCCTGCTGCCGCTGAACATCCTCCTTAAGACACTGCGAGACACACACATGAAACAATCACTTCACCTGTTCAGTATAGTGGAAAAAATGTTCGATCCATCATGGATGATCTTAAGAGATTAGCTATTTTCCAGAGAGAAACAAACACAGAAAATACTTATACTATAAAAACTGCACGGCGGCCCTTCTTTGACTTGGTCCTAAGATTGCCCTCTGGTAAAAACCTGCTGCTACCTCACATCAACAGGCCACGACCGGCCCCCATCAGTACCCACAAGTGCACCTGCTGGCAGCCCTTTCTTGAGCAGAGGCGCCTGCGTGCACTTGCAGGTAAGGGGAAACTGGCCAAGGGAACTGGCAGCGCTGGAACGCCTAGCTCTGTTCCCAGCATTCTGTGTTGGTGGTGGTGTTTAAGGTACTTAAGAGAGCTGTGCGAATGGGAAGCAATTAAGCTTCAAGGGGCACAGGTCACATGGGTTACAAAGTCCATTCCATGTGTATCTACACACACAAACAGAAAATGGGGGGATTAGCAGCTCTTGTATCGATGCATGCCCCAACACAGAGGCAACTCTCAACTGGAAAAGTCAAAAGCTGTGGCTTCTCATTGGAAAACTCCAAACCCTAGCAGCATCAGATGGAGCCGCGTGGCACAAAGGGAAGAGGAGAGAGAAGAGGAAGGAGGAAACAATCTGTAGCTTCTCCGGCTCTTTCTTGGCAGGGTGGCAAAGCCATCAACCATCAGTAATGTTACCTCGAGCCTCCGGGGGATAGCGGAATCTTCGTGTTTTTTGAGTTCCTCAAAAGTGCGTAACTCCAAGTACGCCTGCTCAATTTGGTCCCACAAGTCATTCAACTGTTTCATGAGCCCCATGGCCCGAGACTGATAGCCCCCAAGCAAAATCTTCATCTTCTTCTCCATCTTTGCCGCTCTCTTGGCCTCCGTTGTCATGTGGCCTCTGTTGATCTGGGGTTGGGAAGAGAACACAGGGACACACATGGGAACACAAGCTGCAGAGCAGGCCACGTCGGCACTGCTGGCACGTCTGTCAGTCTGCACCTCAAGGCCCAAGTCCGAGTGCTCCTGATGGCGTGACTCCCACAACACAAAATGGGGCTCTGAAAGGGTGTGCCTTGCACCTGCAGGGCTTCACAGACCAGTTCTGGAAAAGCGCTGATCATAACGGCACCCCAGATTCCCGCCAAAGCCTGCTTGGAATTCACAGACAGGAACGGCGGCTCACCTAGGCGTTCTAAAAAGGACTTTCACTACTGACTGTCTGCACTGGGTTGGGACTAGCTACAGCTCAGCTTCAGCAACTGGCTTTCAAAAGATGTACTTGTGCATTACGCAGCTAGTACACTTTAAATAGCTAATTGCATCTACTGTACCAGATTAATGTACCACAGTTGTGATCAAAATGTTAACTCCTCCTGCAATTAAGATTACTAGAAGATCATCTTTACAATCTTATAACCCTAAATTTGACATAAAACCCAAAGGGGGAAAAACATGTCCCATTTGGCCATGCCTCTAGAAGACCATCGAATGGGGAGCCGCCTTGGTCGACCTCAACAGAGCGCAGGGTCGGCTGTTTTCTGGACACACGTCCACCGGCCCATCGCCATTCCAGTAAGTGGACCACTCAATCTGAGTTCCCTCAAGCCCCTAATACTGTTCATGAAAAGAACACTAACTGCTCATGCGAACACTGTTCAAGCCCCTAACACAGTTCATGCTAAGAACACCCAATGTTAGACACTCAGTCACACACACTCGGCTAGCAAATCTCAACAGCATACAATTTCAAATTCATACATATAGTACTTTTAGAAACTTAGTCACACAAATTATCATTTGGGTAAGATAACTAGCTACCATCTGATGCTCCAGATTCAATTCCCAATTTGATTTAACAGTAAATAGTATTTATGCTCAGGAAGTGTTTAATCGATATCAAGGTGCACGTAGTTACTACCGATACCCTATAGCTGGGAAAGACCCCTAGTGCCCCACTGGGTTAAGTGCTGGGCTGCTAGCCAGGAGGTGGTGGTTCAAGCCCAGCAGCCACTCTGCGTGAGAAAGATGAGTCTGCGTGCTCTCATAAAGATGGACGGTCGCAGAAACCCTATGAAGCAGCCCTTCTCTGTTGCTGAGTCAGAACTGACGCAAAGGCAGTGGGCTTTTAATTTGGGAACCTCGCCTCATATATAGGCACTTATTATTCCAAAACCACCAGAGACTTTTAAAACTCCAAAGGCGCAGTTTTCCATTTAATGCCAACAATTTTACTTAATTCAGCTTACTGGAGTCTGTTCAAATTTTCTGAAAGTCTCCTGGCTCAAACAGTGTGCTAAGATTCCAAGGAAGTAGGGAAATAAACTGCAGGTGAACAAGGGTAAGTATGGGGGGAAATTAGTTTAGTCAAATAACAAAAACAAACAAACAAACAAAACCAGATTACAGCTTTTAGTAATCATTTTAAGTTTCTTGGTTATCTTACATTGATATCTGATCTACAAAAATGTAAAGGAAGTTGTGTGTATGTTTAATTTATAAAATGCTAAATCTATCATAGCCCAAACTAACCTATTACCTCTGACCTTACTCCAGCCAATAAATAAAATCACAAACATGAAATAAACATGCAGACATGGACCAGGACGACTTCCACTCAGGTCCAATTCCCCTCTCCACCACACAGAGAACCAACAGCGAAGTCTCGTTGAGTATAAGGTCATATTGTTTAAAACACAAAGAAACATGGAAAACTGGGCTCTGATGTAACCAGATCCATATATCCAGTTGCTTCCTAGAAAGAAAAACATCACCCCTGCTCCTCACTTAGCAACATGACCAGGTTCCAAAGACCAGACCATGATGCAAAACTGGAAGGTGACTTCATCATCACGTAACTGCCAGACCTTCAAATCATGACCCAGCCTCGCTGACACCGTCACTGCCCGCCAGCACGACTTTGACCTCGGGGCTCAGTGTTCATTACTGTCCAATGTACATTAATACACAAAATAGTCAATAGGTTTTTTAAATTACTGTTGCAAATGCAAAATGTCCAATAGTGAGATGGTCGATTATGTGAGTTGTTATATTAGCCAACTGCCCTGAAAGACAACTTATATACCTTATAACTGATTTACCAAAACGTCTCAAATATGTGCTTTCCAAAATTTTATTTGTACTTATGGATCCACATTACATCTATGAAAATCAGTGGTGGAGGTAGGATTAAATACTTCGCTCTGATCACCAAACAAGTCTCCTAAATATGATTATGATGGAAACTTACAAGTCACTACTGTTTTGGCCATGTCTTCAGCCCAAAACTTTTAAATAATTTTAAATAAAATAAATTCACTGTCCCTATTGGTAATTTTAAGTAGGTCAACCCTGGATATAATTAAAGTTGACTGCATCCAACATAAAGCAGCAAAATTCAATTTAAAACTAGAGACAAATGAAAATAAATAGAAGCAAAAAAGGTGTCGAGACACCAAGCTGGCAGATATTATGCACCATAATTCTCTACTACAGCATGAAGTCAGAGTCAGAGACGTGCTTCAGAATGATCCAGGCAAGAGAAGGAGAGTTAACAGTTGAGCAAGAGCGGCTATGATTTGACGGTGGTCACAGATGACACAGGAACATTCATTATACTAGTCTATGAGTCTATATTTGGGTATATTTGAAAACTCCTACAATAAACGCTGTTTTTAAAAATCTAGTTTAGTATCTACAATAAAGACCAAATGTTGTGTTAACTTAAGACGCTATCCATGAAGACTCAACACAATGAAATAAAGGCCATATTAAAAATTTAAGTATCGTCAACTATTTCAATACATCAAAATGTGTAACATGAAATGAAAGTCCACAATTACATAGACCACAGCGGTTACTGTGAGTGGCAAGTGAACCAGTTCTCACCCATAACCACCCACGGGTGAGGAGCAGAACCGTTGCACGGGGTGCAGGGCTGTGAACTACCTCTCTTCTGAGTCACCGCGAGGTGGGTTTGAAACACCAGCCTCTTGACTAAGAGTAGAGCACTTAATCATGTGCACTACCCAGGGACTCCCAGACACTAGAAGGCAGCAAACGAAAGACCAGGAAATGTGAGATCTATGGAGACTACTTAACTTGCCCTGGGCCCCAGGCCAGTCAGTGATGGAACTATGCAGCTGTCCGACTTGAAAATCCACAGCCAAGCCCCTTCCAGACGGGGCCCAGGCAGTGCAAATGCATGTGAAAGTCAGCCCCTCACAAACAAAGCATGCAAGCAAGCAGGGCCTTCATCAGCGGCTGCCTGTCATCTGTTCATTAAACCTGGAGGCTTCCACTCCAGCACCTATAAGAAAGCCGTCACTCCCCTCCCCATGCATATCCAAAAATGTCTAATTCTTTCATTTTTAACAATCTATAAAACTCTCAAAAATATTTTATAGAGGGGGGAAAGGTTACATTTAGGAATTTTTTAAGAGGTACAGTGGAATATAATTGATGTCATTACTTGTCGATCAAAGCTAATCTTTGCCAAAGATTTTTAAATGAGAAGAGCAATCAGGTTTCTCTTTTTTGTTAAAAAAAATTCTCTTTTTAAGTAAACTATTCCATTTTAAAAGTAGTACATAATGGCTCCAATGTCATTTTAATATATTTTCCTCTCTTTACCTACACAGAAGGAAAAGAAGAAAAAAAAATACACACACACACACACACACACACACGACACCACACCACCCCCACCACTCCCAGAAAGTTGAAGGTGATTTTGTCTGGATGGTAGGCTTAGGGATTACCTATTTTCTTCCTTGTATTTTTCTAGTTCTTTCAAATTTTCCACAAAGCACAGGTATTATTTTTAGAAAAATGCCTACACATGTTATTTCTTAAATGCATAGAAGAGAAACTGTCTGAAAAAGACTGGCCAGAGACCAATGGAAAACGGATGGTCCCCAGGAGATGAATCAGTAGAACCTCGGGTAAGTGCTTCCTCGGGTCATTACAAAAGGGGGCTGTATGGGACTTATAAAAGTGTGACTGTTACTTTCAAGCTCACTAAGTTTGTTAAGGCTACGAAGCTTAAGTAATTCCAAAATAAGCACATTATCCCTGGGTCGCCGTACTGGCTTCAGTGAGGTCTGTCACTGCGAGGTTCTGAACAGCGAGAGCAGCCCTGGCCGAGACGCTTTGCTTAGGGGCCACTGCAGAACCTTTTGCCAGTGGAAAAATGAGTTTGAGGGTATTCTCAATACAGGCTGCACAGTTCCACACCCAACATGCAGCAAGAGTAAAGAGGTGGTTCAATCCCCAAAATGCTTGCAGGCAAACAAAACCCCAGGAGGGCTTCCCCTCTGCCCCTGCACTGCTCGCAGCATTACACTCTCGGGGTTAGTGAGGGCCACATAGCTAAGTCAGAATGTGAGTATTTGCCTAATTTCATGTAAGCAAATAAAACAATTGCTAAAAAAAAAAAAAGATAGCTAAATGACCGGCAATGACTCCTTACTAGTAACCAACTGAATTCCTGGTTCCAGACATTAACCTGAGAAGGAAACAACGCCTAACAATTCCCACATAAACATGCACAGCCTCAGAGCAAAGATGCACATCTGTGTCAATGAGGACGTGAACCACAGGACTTGCATGAAACGAATTCAACCCAATACCAAGACAAAACAGAAGCAGCCTGGTTGTACCAAGATCTCTCTGGTTCAGCTCTTGGGAGACTCTTGCTAGAGACAACTAGGAAATCTAGTCCAGTGAGCCCTGGGTGGGGCATGCGCAGGCAACTCCTACTGGTCCTTAAATCTGCCCCCACCTTAAAAATTATTGAACCAACCAGCTCCTACTAACAATAAATTCTTCGTCAACATCATCTCACTTGCTGAATCTGCACCTTTCAAATGACAAAACAGGCTTCCAGCCTCTTCTTGCACTGACTCATACCACCTGCCATCAAGTGACCATAAAGGATAGGGTGCAATGGCCCCAGAGGGTTTCTTTACAGAAGCACACACCTTCACCTTGCTCCTGTGAGGCAGCTGGTGGGTTCGAACTACCAATCTCGTGGTTAGCAATCCAATGCTTAACCACTACCACCACCAGGTCTTGTACTAAGTAAGGTCAATTAAGAACGCTGCGCACCCATCTGGACTAACCTACAATTCAATGCACGGAAAGACTTAGAACACTGCTCATTCATAAGCCGGGGCAAACTGTACTGCCTTTCAGGCCCCGGCAGAGAGCAAGCGTGTGGTGAGGGGAGAAAGTATTCTAAAGTACTGCAGACTCCTTGCCCTCACTCCACGTGAGCGACTCTCCACGCACGCACGGGGCACACAGCTGACACCTGCTGAGACACTACACCATCCAGCACTCTTCTCAGAAGTCCTCACCGACCCAACTCTCACCCCAGCCTGCAAGCTTCCACCCCTTCCTGACCAATGACACAACAGTACCCACCTACAGTTTTCATCTCCAGGGTTTGGTGGGAAGCTGCTACCCACCTGGCTGGGGGCAGGGGAGGCGTTTATATAAATCTGAAGAAACAGAATTCATCCCAATAACCACAGCACCAGAGACCCCATGGGGCATATGTATCCCATTATGTCAAAATCAGTTTTACTTAAAAAAAAAAAAGTTTTCCCCCATTTCAAATTGCTTTCTGTTACTGAAAATATAACTGTGACCAAAGGGTGGGGGTGGGAGGAGGAATCCAAGAAGAAAATAATTTGGTCTTGAAAGGGTTAAAGTGCTAAGGGAAACTTTTCCCCCTATCCAAAAATATCTGACTCTAGAATGGCAACCACTGGGAGAACTGCATCCCCTGTGCAGCCAGTTGTGCTGAAGTATAGCGCTCAGTAAAGTCAGAGGCCCTTGTGGAGTTCTACAAACACATGCAGCAGGATTCTGAATGTGTTATCTCGTGTTCTTTAAGAGACTTTACTTCCAAGAAGTCAATGTCAACTAGTGTTTCTTGACAAAGTCGACTGTGCCAGTAAAACGCTGGGAGAAGTATTACTTCTGGACCTAGTTTCCATCTCTAAGGAAAGCCTTTCCATTTTTACAGCTAACACGACAAAACCCACTCTTCGGCCAAACTTCCTCAACACACAGCAGTTCAAATACTATTTCAAATACTATTAAATTTAATGGCAGGCCAAAATTCAGAGTTCTCGTTTCACTTTTGCACCTACTGGAAATTATTTCACTCAAAATAATTATGTCTTCAGATGATTTCCTATTTCCACTTAAAGTGGAAACAAATTAGAACACTTCAAATTCTATTTGCACTTCCCCAATACGGTATGACTCATGTATCTGGCTGGCATCATCTGGAAAGGAGGTTCTCCCCGTGCAGTGCTCACTTCCCAGATAGGGCTGCCTTCTCCAGAGCTGTGTCCCCACGGCCTAGCCAGGGTCTGCATATAGTAGATGCAGGACTATACCAAGTACTAACCACACTCTGCCTTTCACCATTTGATAAAGGTGTGTCTAAAATGAATTTCAGCTACTTGAGAAAGAAAGAGAAATCAACAGAACACCGAACAGAAAGAGCTCTGGTTTGTTCCAGGGGCACCACTGTCCACAGCAGTCACTCGGCTCCCCACTGTACCCGACTGCCCGCAGAGGGCACCGCAGCCCAGGTTTCTCGGCTGCCATGCACCAACCGCCACAGCAGGCACGGCTTTCACAACGTGCCCCTTTCTGGCAGGGTTCTCAGGCTCAGCCTGCCTCCACAGCAGCATAAAATACCCAGCCCAGGCAAGGACTCCCAAGTCTTTCCCACTTCCTGCTCCGCTGATCTCTGCCTGCATTCTGATGCTATTTTCTATTGACCAGACCCCTGGTGCCCCCATCACATTCCACAGGAAATCTGAGATGGTTCCATTCGCTTCAAATGAGTATCTTAAGGATTTTCGCTTAAGTTCTAAATTTCATATATTAATGGGGGAGGGGGACAGATCATGAGTTATGGCTCAAAAACTAACTCCAATATAAACCTCAGGGCCTATTTTTTAAATCCATTTAGGAGACATCAACCACGACAAAGCTGGATTTCATCTTGCTTGATGGGCTGTGATAGGGCCATAATTTAGATTCACTGCTCCAAAGTTCATGGCAGCGAAATCAATCCTCCATTGGCAGCCCTGGTACTCGGGCTCGCCGGGCCCAGCTCTCTGAAACTCAGCAGTGAGGGGATCATTTCAGTATGGCATTCCGTTTATACAGTCTAACTGGAGTTCCTTCCCCACAACAAACTCTGAATAATGTTTATAATTTAGCAATCAGCAGAAATGATGAAAGAATTACCACAATTGAAATAAAATATTTATGTATTTCAAACCAGTAGAACGGTGCCTTCAAAAGCTAAAATAAGCTAAGAGAAATCTAGTTCTGAATTAGGGATGGATAAAAGAAAACGGAGGATTTGTTTGTTTGGGTCTTGGCGTTCCTTTTCTTCTTAAAGATGTAATAGACTTTCATTTGAAATAAGCATAGTTTACTAGATTAAAGGATGGGATTAAGTATTCTTTAAAAGTATCCTATTGGGTAACTGCAATGTTTAAATGCTCTGATGCTAACCTAAAGCGTGCCCATTTAAACTCACAGGTGTCCCAGGGAGAAAGATGCTGCAGTCTGTGATCTTCAGTGAAGGTGACAGCACTGGGCACCCCGGGGGGCAGTTCCACCCTGTCTGATAGGGAGTCTGAGTGGATTGGATGGCAAAGGTATCACACACACATCTACAAAGAGCCCTGGTGGCACCATGGTGAAGCACTAGGCTGAGAACGCAAAGGAAAGGGGTTTGAAGTCAGGAGCGGCTCACCAGGAGAGGAGGCGGCAGGCAGCCTGCCCCTGGGAAGATTACAGACTAGGGAAGCCCGCAGGGCAGCTCTCCTCTGTCCCAAGTCACAACTGGCTCGAGGACACCGAGTCTCATTTTGGTTTCGCTGGGCAAACAATAAAGTAAGTTATCCAGGAGTCAAAAGAGAAAAATTGCTTCAGCCTGTTTTATGATTCTTCCAAAATCACCAATCGTTCAACAAAAATAGTTCAACGGAAGACTTCAGTTCCTGGTACTGAGCTGAACAAAGAGAACCACATGTTTTTAATGGCTGCTCATAAATGACCCAAATAAATCTCCAAACGAGCAGCAGCGGTCCGTTCTCTTTCCGTTCAAAGCTCCCTCACAGGCCAGTCCCACACAGAACTGTTTAAGCCCCTGCACTTCCCGGCGCCACGCACTTTGTGATACACTGATCTGTTGCCGTCAAAGTTAGTGCAAATGCCAGTTAGGGAAGACTTTTGTTTGCTTGCTTGCTTTTTCATTTCACACAGCACAAAATATCCTGCTTTTTGAGGGAGAAGAGAGTTTACCTACCTCAAATAAAGTTCTTCAACCTGAGGGATCTAAGTATTTAGAAATAAATGCTCACGGAAGCTTTCCAAGTGGCTTACCAATCAATCGTGATACTGACTTTAGATCAGAATGGCACGGCTACATGCCATTTATAAGAACGGAAGCCTATACAACAGAACGTTCTATTAACCCATTGACTCTGAATTACAACACAGAGCAACCGCACCCCCTGCTGGCAGTTTGTCGGTACAACCACAACAGCCAACAACACTGGGTCACCAAGTCTCCCCAAGTGACTTACTTCACAGAAAGAAACCAAACTCTAATGGATCAAAGTCCACAGGCATTATTACCCATCAGATCCTTAGACCTGTGGTCTGAAAGGTAAAAGCGGGACTAAGATTAATTTTCCAATCAAAGATCCTGCTTTCCCCTGCTCACTTCCCCAGCTCCACATATCGCCCCATCTGGTGTTTTTTTGTTTATTTCTCTGGGTAACCTGAATGAGAACATTGTCAATCAGCCGTCTGTAAGAGAAGCTGGCAATCACATACCAGAGGAAACTGAGGCCACTGTCTGCGGCGACTGCACAGCACGCCCTTCTCCCTCCCACTCCATTTTGGCCTCAGAAACACCCCTTGAAGACCACCATTAAGAATCCACCAGGCGTGGTGTGAGTGGCGATACTGGGAAGGTAGAGGGAGGGTGGGTTCGAAAGGGGGAACAGATTACAAGGATCTACATGTGACCTCCTCCCTGGGGG